TCCCTATCAATCTAACATATAGACTAAAGGAAGAAAGAGGAGAAAAGAACGGTGTACCCAGGGATGAAGTTCAGATTCGCTTGCACAAATCAAGGTATCGATATTGCGCTGCGGCAAAGGGGTATAATTAGATCGAACTACTGTATCGAGCCGAAGATTCGCGAGATTAATGGATACCACGCGAAAGACACGAATAATAACCAGGATGCCTCGAACGGAGAGGGTAATGACTATCGTGGGTTCATGGTTGCCGGCGTAAGAGCGGTCGGGGATCCAGCGGGACGGAAAGAATCGATAATTCGACGGCGCCATGCCCGTTTCACCCTTCGTTCCGTGCGGTCTATCGTTACGATCTGGACAACGAAAGTCACGATCCTCGAACAGGCGCGACGTCCAGCGCGAGGAAGCGGGCACCGGTGGACCGATCGAAAGTTGCGGCGTCACTGTCGGTAGCGTGGCAAAATCGTGAGAGAACGAGAGAGAGAGAGAGAGCGCGAGCGATAGGAGCTGGTTGCAGCATGGATCGTGACTTGCGTTCAGTCCTCTTGTCTCCTGTTGTCTCCTTGTTACCCGACTCCTGTCCGTTTCGGTAGTTTTCGAGGGTGTGAGGCTGCTTTATCACGCGCGACCTCCCGCTGTTGTCACGCGATCTTATCGCGCCGCTCGAGCGGATTCGGCCGCTCACGAGCCTCACGATCCCCGATCCCGAGCCGATTCTCCATCCCTTACATTCGAATTACATCGCGTACAGGTGGTGCTCGTTTACGCGAATCGTTCCTTCCTTCTCTTTTCGCGCGTTGCATTTCGCGCACTCGCGATGGGTATCGGGGATCGGTGAATCGAGAGTTCTTTTTCACCGGGTATTATCGGGTCCTATTGGACGGACGGTCCGAAATTCGTCGAACAAAGGGACAGGGCAGTAGCCAAGCAGGTAGCCTGGAAATGAAGATGCTCTCGGCACGATCGGGTACACACGATTACGGTAATCGGCGCGATCTCTTATTAAGAAAGGCAATTATTCCACGCCGGTTGCGGCTTGTTACCTTTCAATGTTCCTGGGCAAACTATTATTTTCCGATGCGCCTTATTATCGATAATTACGGATAATTCGCGAGCCGAGTCTGTGAACGGGGCTGAGACTCGGTCCGATTGAAATTAAGACTCGTCAAACGTAGAGCGTGGCCAATTAGATACGTACCGAACGTTGTTATAACCGCAAAAGAGGCCTGCGAACGTGCGCGTGCGCGTGTGCGCGCGCAGCCAGATAACCTCTGAGTCGGAGCATCGCTTGATCTTTCGACTCGAACGTTATCGCGGCCTGGAATTTCAGCAACGACTGGCCTCGCCGTATCGGTCGTAATTGTAAACATAACAATTATCGTTTTACGAGCAGACCGTAATTAACACAATTTTTATTCGTTGCGCCGTGTTATTCCACCGATTCACCAGCAATTCATGACCGCGCTATCGGGCATAGGAGTCGGCCGGTATCTCGTAATGCGCAACATTCACTGCGTCCGAGGAGAAAGCACTCTTCCCTAACTTTTATCGTCGTGTTTTTCGTCGACCAACTGCGCAGTTGACGCGCATGCGCGCGCGCGCGTGTGTGGCCGAAACGTGGCTCACGCGCGTTATCCGCGTTGGACCTTGAACGATTTCTTCGGAAGGCGAATTTCAATTGCAGAACGCGACGGCTTTTCATCAAATTCACCGTCGCGTGGCCGGTTTGAAGGTGTTACGGAATAAATGGACAGCCGTCGTGCTTCTGTACGTCATACCATTTAATAATTACAATTTAAATTATATAATTATGCGACCTTACACGTACGGTGCTCTAGGTTACGTAGATGTATTAAGTAGGTATTTTTTTTAGTTTAGACTATTACGTATATTACATGGAATGAAGTAACATTTGAGTTGACGCTACACGAACGTAATACTTGAGCTTAATTTAAAGTGGAGAACGCATCCTTCGCACCTGACGAGTAAATAGGCTTCGTATTCTCATCCGCTTCGCTGACCCCCGTGTTTCTCGTGTACCCCGGCTCTGTACGGACGAACCGATTGCGATCGACCCGAGGAAAGAAAAACGACGATCGTCGAGACACCGAGGGGACGCGCGTTCGCGCGCCGCTCGCTCGCCGCGCGGATCATTTTCCCTTAAAGAGCGCGAAAAACCGAACTCTGCATTCATAGGTACGGAACGTGTTGTACGACACGCGGCGTGAACAACAAAAAAAAAAAAATAATAATAATAATAACGAAACAAATAAAATACAATATTAACACTGGACCAAGTCATTAGCAACAGGCTCACTCTCAATAGAATAATAGCAATAATATCAATAATTTCAATAATCATCGTAATAATATTAATAATAATTATTATTATAATTATAATCCTCACTATTCGTTTATTTAAATATCCCTATATAAAGTACCAGGCGATAACGAAAGACTCTGCATAACGTAGGAAATTGCTTCGGTTCGCGTCGAACAACTTGCATCCTGCATCTGCGCCAGATATCACAAACAATTACATTCCACGAAGCACGGATACCATTTTCTGTCCCTTATCGACTGCAAAAGAACTCGAGGAATCGGCTCGTTCGTTAGCGCCTCGTACGATAATAACGTCGTTCAATATCGTGTTGCCATATATTCAATAGCTATGTACAATTCAACATTATAGCTTACACTTACATCTCTCTTTACGCCTTGTTCGCTTTCGCCTTACATTTGTCACCTTTTTTTCTCTCGCTTTCTCTCTTTCTCACTCTCTCTCTCTCTCTCTCTCTCTCTCACTCTAAATAAAGATAATATATATATTTTTATGTATATATATATATATACTTTTTAGATCCCTGTATTCTTCCGAATTTGCTTCGCATAAAGTTACGCAGTTCACGACATCTTACTAAGCACAGAGCGACTGCTAGCTGTTTATTACTTTATTTTATCTTTCTCCCGTTCAATTATACCATTTCACCTCTTCGTATCACAAGATAAACCAATTAACGCGGGCGCGCGAGCGTGTACGCGCCCCGGCCGCGAACACATTATCTAAATTCATTTACACACCTGCCGTTTCGTTCGATTAGGTCGCCGAGAGGGATCCTCCTATTCCGCCTCCACCTCTTCCTCCTCGAGACAGTTGCTCGTTTTTCGTCGGTTCGTTCGTTTCGCTACGCATACACTCCGCTCGATTCGCTCGTATTACACGCGGTGCCGCGTCGCGATGCGCAGTTGCGACCGCGCAGCCAGACGGGAGGCGCATGCGCGGACGCGAACGCGTTTCCCCCGAGCTTCGACGGCTGACTGGAAACCCCTGTCGCTTCCAGACAAGACGCGCTCTTAGATTTTCGGCACAACGTCGTACCGTGTACAACGCGACGAACATGCGCAAGGATTATTAAGACGCGAGAGTGTCGCAGTTGCAACGGGACTCGACTTTGTACACCGTTTCGCGTGGAAATGCGTTTGCCCTGGTCGAATCGCGCTCGCATCGTGTCCAGAGCTGTCGTATGTCGCGGTTCCTTCCGAAACCATGTTCCTTAGCTGCCGTACGCGTACACGGTGTTCACGGAGAGCTCGCCGAGTCCTCGACACCGATTTCTTTCTAAACGCTCTACCGAACGATCCGAAACGTCATTCTTCTCGAGAACTCGACTGCGTTCGACGAGAGATCGAGAATTAAAAAAACAAAAAGAACAAATGAAGTGTATATCAAAAAAGGTAACAGTAGAAAAGAGGAAAAGAGGAACATAGAGTACCGTGTAAAACGTGTTACTTTCCGACGCGTACATGCGTCGTACGTGTATCGGTGAATGGTGGGGGTAGCTAGGTGTCTCCCCTAGATCGATTTGGCTTAACGAACTGCGGTATAGCAAACGAGCTTCGCGAGAATAGGTTGTTCTTAACTATCGGCTGTTCTTATTCGCTATAATGTAGCATGCGTTTCGTCGCTTCGATTTCGCGAGTAACTTCGTGTCGATCGAGCGGACGTTGAAAAGTGTCAGCAGCCTCTATCGAAAAACGGCAGAGAATAGGATCGAGTATTAATAGGCACCTTACGTACTACGAAGTAGAGACTTTAACGTGCACATAGAAACTGCGCGGTTCGCCGGTGGTGACTGGCGTAATTCGCGGCGTCGCCGTCGACGAAACGCGCCATCGCAGAGAGATAGACTTCGAGAACGAGCGAAAGAAGAGAAAGAGAAAGACGGAGTGGAAGATGAAACGAGAAAGTTGAATAAGTACATCAGCGCATCCTCTGTAATTCAATTTTTTTTTTTTCCTTTTTTTTCCACTTTCTCCTTCGATTTCGGAATTATTGGGAGTGCGTGGGCGGGATACGGGGCGGGGGGTTGGGGAACAGGAGGGTTTGTATAGGTCCAGAGATGCGAAACAGTGCGCAGCCAGACAAGATAATCAATTAATTAGTCGCTCAATTAATTAATTACTCAGACCGCTAATTTCTAAGCCTTAAAAACTACTGATTCGGTTTTATCTCACCCGCTGAGGTGGCTTCTCGTCCGCGTTCAGCATCGGTACGCTTGTAATCTAGCCGCGGCGAGAGCCCCTCGGAGCGCGTCCAGTCCATTTAATCGGGCGCACGGCGTGCATTGCAGAAAATTTTTTTTGGCTTCCCTTCAACTTCGAATAGTTCTATTGTGACGGAGTATCTCGTGGACACAGGCGCAGACCGACGCACAGCGGACGCGATCGAATCGTGGAACCGTGAAAACGCCGACCGCGATAGAATCGTTCGAACATCACCGTGGTCGTCCCTTCGATTTCAAACGCGCGTTATCCCGAGTGGGTTTCTCGCGACGAAAAAAAAAAAAAAAAGAAAAAGAAGGAGTCTACGTGGAACCCCATCGTCCCCGAATATGTTCCTTCGTCGACGCGTATACCGCTCTCGGATACCGGCAAAAAGACGACGAAAAGCCCGGGGGGCAGGGTAAGGGGAAGGGAACGAAAAAGAGGAGGGACGAAAAGAGTAAAACAAAAAAAAAAAATATATAAAAAAAGACGAAAGAAGAAGAGAAGTAGAAATTCTGCTTGACGAGTGACAATCCGTCGAGGCATCGGTGGCCTGTGTCAGACCTCGTCGGGTCTCACCACGTGTCCTACTGGAAGTGAAGTGTCCCGGGCCGGCAGGTCACGCGAGACTTGCTATAGTCTTTGGTGACGGCGGCCGGGCCGAGAGCCGGAAAAAAGCCTTTTAGAAGTTCTGCTCGCCGTACATCCCGGGGAACCGGACAGCGTGTGCTCCGAGCTCGGCGGGCGAGAACTCGTCCTATGTGGCCAAGTGAGCGAACTGGCTTGGGTGGGGCGCGAACTGGTAAGGGTGGCCGTACGGCGACATGTGGTACGGTACAATGTTCATGCTCGCCATCTTGTGCTCCTTTTTCCACTTCATCCGCCGATTCTGGAACCAGATCTTGATCTGACGTTCCGTCAGGCAGAGGGCATGCGCGATCTCGATGCGGCGCCGCCTCGTCAGGTAGCGGTTAAAGTGGAACTCCTTTTCCAGCTCCAGCGTCTGGTACCTGGTGTACGACGTCCTCTGCCGCTTCACCTCGCCGTTCGCGTTCACCGTGCCTGTGGAACAGATAGATTATCCTGTTACTCTTTGCCTCGTACGTGTATTTCAGAAATTTTCCACCTGTCGAACACCCGAGCGATTAAGTTCGCGATTAGGCTACCTGTATTTCGCGTGGCGATCGATTATCCTTCCGCTCTATTGTTACTCGATTGGTACGTGTACAATGATGCGGGAACATTCGATAAAAAGCGATAATTTATGGGTCCAATATACGTATATTTCAGAAGTTTTCCAGGTGCCGGACACCTAAGTGTCCTAGCTCGTAATCGCTCTACCTGTGTCTAGCCTAGTTATCAATGGCGATCGTGCATAGGTAGCTAGAGCAACGAAGCAAGAGTCCGTTTACCCTAGACAACTGGTTCGATAAGAAAATATCTAGCACCTCGAGTGGACTCGGTCGAAACAGGTTCCAGAGAGCGCTATCAGCCAGAGGGTATCGTGTTCCGGCGGTGTTTCCATCAAATGGACCTACCGCTATCGAATTAAGGGTATGTCACAACACGACTCGTGGGGTAGGCGATAAACGAACAAGGTCGCGAACGATCGAAGGAATCGGAGGCACCTCGCGCGATCGATCGGACCGCAGGGAACCGGGGAGAAGCGCGCGATCCAAGGCGCGCGGCGCATAATAGCCGGGGCTGAACGCGTGTAACGCTTCACGAGTTCGTTAATTATTTCAACGACTCGCGGCTAATGCATCGACCGTTGCTACCGGATCGCGAACTGGTCACTTGGCAGCTGTTTTACCTATTTGCTCAGCACGCCCGAGCCATAAATAATTTTGCAACGCTGTTATTACGATACTCCGCCTATTACACCTATCCGCCGCGCGTTGCAAAAGCCCCGGTAATGAATGGCTCGGGCAACGAGCATCGGGAGAAACCTCGAGGTCGCTTTTAAATACCAATAACCTGTTACTTCTGCTTTTCCAGCCGCGCAATCACCGGTCGCTTACCGGCTAAACATCGGCCGGGAACATTTTAATATCGCAATTACGATAGCGGCCGATGCATTTCGTTCGATCACGTCGGGAATCGGTGAATCACGTCCCGTTCCACGGCCACACCGCGACGTTATCGTTTCAGGAAGCCCGGTGCTCGAAAATTTATTTGTCGCTGCACGCGCGTCGCGATCCATGTCGTTTAGCATACATCTCGGGCGTAGATCTCTATCTGGCTGCGTCGATTTATAAGGTGGCCGGGAAAAAGTCCTGGCGATGTGTGATAGCGAGTAGCCTAACACAGGCGTGGTAATTCCCTCTGGTTTCGGTCAGGTTTGTCCCGGATCGAGCGTGGCAAATGGTTCGCGCGACATCGACGGTTTCGGATGAAAGGATCGAGCAGGTGCGAGGGTGGATCGAAGAGGGTGGGCACCACGGAACGTTGCACGGTGATCATAGATCCATGTCAATGCGGATATTAAAGAGTCGGCTCATTTACAGCAATAATGAGCTGGCTATTAATAGCGGCGCGAGAGGGAGAGCCCGGCTCACTCAGGGACGGCATTGCGGCTGTTGCGTGGTCACGTGCGCGAAAAACAGACTTTCTAAGCGGCAGAAAAAGCATGCGAAACGCGGTATCACAGGAGAATACTTCGACTAAGAATATCCCAGATTGACGTGCGAGAATATCTCCGAAAGGTCGATCCTTCGATGATCGGTTTTAGCTTCGGATTATTTGACGTCATCGAAAATTCTGATTTTTCCTGCAGGCGCTGTAGTCCTGAATATGCTGGAAGAAATTTATCGACGGTGGCTCAAACCAGTCGAGTTTAGGAGTAATCGCTGTACTAGAATTTCTCTAGAATTTTCTCTTCTCGGCGTAGAAATTATTTTTAGCGTAATGCAACGAGAATATATGTGTATCGTCACTAGGTCGTTCTTGCTTGACGACGATTAGTGACGGACGAGGATCTTTGAGGAGATTATGTTTGGCTTCGAAATAGTAAGTGGACTGTCCAGACTACCTTCACATCGCGCGTTTTCATATTCCGCGAGCTACCAGGTCTAGCATTTATGTAGACCCTTGGTAGGGCTATGTAATTTGTTATTGCAATTAGTTATGTAGTTTCCGAATTTGTGGTACAAGGGTAGGTAGGGGTTACAAACGGAAAAACGAACCGAATTATTGCCCAATACTCGGCATATATGATAGCCAAGCGTCAAGGTGCCATCATCGTGTTTTACCTGGGGAACGGGGTCGGTAATATGGTATTTCCTGATGAGTAATAATACCGCCGAAACGGTATTTCAAGGATTAACAATATACTCTTTGGTAGTATTTTTTGTAATCCTAAGTTAGCTATCCTCGGAAACGTTGGAAACCTTTCGCATTATAATATAGTTCCGAAATTGCAATATTTTAAACGAATTATTGTTAAAAATGATCACCTTTCTAGGCTGAAGTACGATATTCAAATCAATCGTGTCTAGATGTAATCACTATTCTCCAATTAGCAATTATATATCGATGTAGGGTTTAATTTTAGTTAATCACTATGTACCTACTCCATCTACGATGAAATTAGATAAAGATTAGAGAAATTCTTCGAATTTTCTGCAAGGGTATGCTTGTCATTCCAGTGCAAATGGTTAAATATCTTTCTTTAAATATTAGAAATTCCTATTAATATAGCGTGACCACCATTTATTAATCTAAACATTCTTGTTTAAATATTAGACATTGTTTTTAATACAGTTCAATAGGAACACGCCAAAAATTGCAATATTTCGAAGCAACCAGTCCCAGAAGCTTTTATTAGCCCCAGGATTGCTATTATTCCAAAATTCCACTATCTGATCACTTTCGCCCCCCTATTAGTTCGGGCACAGAAGTTTCTACTACGTTCTCGACATAATTAAACGCGAAGACATCGGAAAAATTGCGATATTCCAAAGCAACTAATTCCAGAAGCGTCAATTAGCATCGATATTGGAAAAATTAAAACCCTCTGCTATTATTCCAAAAATTCCACTCTTCGGTCACTTTTGTCCCCTATTAGATCGGGCACAGACGTCCCTACTGCGTTTTCGACATAATACAACGCGAAGAGATCGGAAAAATTGCGATATTCCAATGCAACCAGCCCCAAGACCGGTGAAAATAATACCCTCTCCCATGTGACAGTCAGTGGAAACTCGTTGGCGAGGAAACAAGCACCGCACCATAGCTTCCAGGAAGCTCCCCGGTGAAGCTTAATGACCGGACCCCTGGATCCTCGCGTTATCGCTTTCCTCCCGATGTAGCACGTCGCTGGGCTGACTTTTTAATAAATAGTGGCCCCTGCTCGGCGCGGGCCCGCATATCGTTTATCCGGCGCACACCTAGCCGTTTTGTAACGGACAAACGGAATTCCTTTTTCTGGCTGGCTCATTATTATACGACAGTCGAACGCGCGAACTATAAGCCGGCACGCGTACCGACGTCGCCGAACGGGGCACCGAGGGACCAAGCCTGCTCCTCCCGTGGATCCTCGCCGTGGATCCTTTCCGGTGATTAATTGCCAGCCGTGTCCCGCTGACGTCGATACAACCTATGGCGCTGCGCGGAGACAATCCGCTCGGCGATCCGCACGCTCGTCACGCTACACGCTCGAACCGCCTCTCGCGAGTAGTTGCGGCTGTGTGCAGAGCTAACTCTGCAGTCGCTGGGTATATTAGTTCGTATCGTTAAGTGGTAGCTTTGAGAGTTTCGTGCTTAGCTTTCGAGGCATTCGGGTGGGGGTTGCCGGAGCAGTGCGATGGATTTAACCCTTTATGGTGTGGAAGAATTTTTTAGAGTTTGAGGCTTTGCTTTTGAGGGATTGATATGCAAGTTGGGGGGCAAGTGCGATGGATTTAATTCTTTATGGTGTAGAATAATTTTTCGAAGTTTGATGCTTGGTTTTCGAGGAGTTCAGATGGGGGTTGCTGGACAAGTGCGATGGATTTAATCCTTTATGGTGTAGAAGAATTTTTAGAGCTTGAGGCTTTGCTTTTGAGAAATTGAGATGAGGTGCTGGACAAGAGCGATGGATTTAACCCTTTATGGTGTAGGATGTTTCGAACGTGGACCAGAGTGACCAATGTAATCGGAGTGAAGAAATTTTTGGAGAATGAAAAAGTTCATCGTGTCGTTTTGGAGTATAGAATTATTCCAATCTTACTGTCTATTGATAAAATTTTTACTTCGTACTCAGTGAAATATAGGATCGTGAGGAGTTGATGGAAATATTAAAAAATTTAATATTAACGACGCAAATTGGGCAATGTTATAAATATCAATTATTAAAAATATTCCTAAATATTTAATCATTATTCCAAATTGCAATTGACTCGCAATATTTCTCGTACGACACTTGAATCAAGCGAAATTGCATTCTTAGAATTTTAACAAATTTCATACAAATCGTTTATAAAATGTCAATAAATTAATTAGACAAAATGAACGAATATTTATTAATAATTGTTCAGGAACACCCGCGTTCTCGAAATTTTTAACTTCCCCGAGGTTAAGGGGAGAGAAGTGTCGGATTAAAAAATGGTGAGACCAGAATGGAGGAGCTGGAAGTGTCTCGAGCCCATCGCTACGGAACACGCATCGCAGGTATGAATGCGCGAGACGGGTCCCAAAGCGAAAGAAGCAGCATCCAGAAGACGGGGGCGGAGATTATTGATGGTGACGATGCACAGGAGATTTGGAAATTAAACGCGGGGGTGGAGTGTAACGGGTCGAGCGATCAGATGGTAGCGTTGAAAGCGATTGCAAATTGAAAGTAGTGCGTTGATTCGATGCTCGAGATGCTCGAACCGATAATCACCGCATTCAGCATCCGCTACAAGCGTAGTGATTAGCCGTTATTTGCACCGTATCAATCTACTTGCAGATGAGTCTGCAAGTCATGAAGTCGGGCCATATGCACTTCTGACTGCTTTGCGAAGAATTGGAATCAAACTTCGGGAGGGAGCTCTGAAACTGAGCTGGAATTATGGAATATCTTTTATCAATGATTTCTAACC